TTGTAAGTTTTGCTTTTTTTTTTATTGATTATGGAAAAAAATAAAATTAACTATTGAATTTGTATGATTCGAGTTTATAGTAGTACTTTTAATTTTATATTATTATTCTTGGTTATTTATATTCTTAATATATTTTCTTAAACTAAACGTTATTTAATATTGGATTATTTAGTAAAGATTGTTACTTCGTGTTATTTATTAAGTATTGAATTTGTATGATTCATTTTCATAGTATTATTTATAATTTTGTATCCNTTCTTTGTTAAATTAAATTTTTTGTAAGTTTTGCTTTTTTTTTTATTGATTATGGAAAAAAATAAAATTAACTATTGAATTTGTATGATTCGAGTTTATAGTAGTACTTTTAATTTTATATTATTCTTCTTGGTTATTTATATTCTTAATATATTTTCTTAAACTAAACGTTATTTAGTATTGGATTATTTAGTAAAGATTGTTACTTCGTATTATTTACTAAGTATTGAATTTGTATGATTCATGTTCATAGTATTGTTTATAATTTTGTATCGTTTCTCTCGTTTGTAATTTTGTATCATTTTTCTCGCGTATTTATATTTGAATTATTTAGTAAATATTGTTATTTTGTGTTGTTCAGTAAATATTGAATTTGTATGATTTGTGTTTGTATATGAATTTAATCTTGTATATTTTAAATGTTAAACATATTTTCTTTAATATATCTCTTGATATCTGAGTTGTCCAATAGCTTGAATTTAATCTTGTATATTTTACATGTTAAGCATATTTTTTTTGTTAAATTAAATTTTTTGCAAGTTATGCATTTTTTTATTGATTATGGAAAAAATAAAATTGACAATTGAATTTGTATTATTTGTATTTGTAGTATTGCTTGAATGAAAGAGAGAGATACAGAGGAATATTTTCATAATATATACTATCTAATATTTATTACATTATTTTCTTTTAGAGAAAGATACAGAGAAATATTTTCATAATATATTATCTCTTTCTATGATATATAATATCTATCTACAAATAGTAGTATTTGCTTGAATCAAGTACTATTTAATATTTTAATGAGATATAGAGAGATATACAGAGGAAAATATTATGAAAAATTAATATTTTTTGCGTGAATTGAGCGTGAGAGAGAGAGATACAAAGGAATGAGAGAGAGATATTTGCGTGATTTAAGGAAAAGATTTGGGGGAATTAAAGTTTTAAATATCAATTTTGGAAACTATAAATTTTGAATAGTAAAAATATTTCAAAAGAGTTAATGTGGTACATCGAATCAAAACGATCTGAGACGTCAATAGCTCGAGATAATTTGGGATAACCTCGTCCGTTAGATGATATTTTTTTTGTCACGAAACGATCTAAACCAGTCTTTGTCTCTAAAATTCAAATTCATTCTACTTTATTATATAGATATATTATGTATACATTAATTTCATATAAAAATACAATGATAATATATATTTTTTAAAAAAAATTAAAATAAATTTAAATATAAAATATAAAATATAAAAATTTTAATTTTAAATTAAAAAAAAATTCATCTTAACTAAGAGTGAAAATTTTCGACTCAACACGATAATACAACTCGAACTCGACACGAATTTGATTATAACTCGATACGAATTTGAAAATAACCTGGCACGCGAATAAGAAATATAAAAACCTCATAATTTTATGACTCGAGACGAATCTGACACGACACGAGTCGATTGTCGCCTATAATCTTAGCTTGTATAAAAAAAAATTAAAAAAAATATTTTCTATCTATTTAACCAAACACAAAAAGAAAGAACGTATATCATTCCTACTTTTCATCCTTGAATGATAGAAAGTATATAACTTCTATTTTTTATCATTTTTACTTTTCATCATTCATACCAAACGGAGCATTATTCAAAAAAGTTAGTTGATAGTAAATTATTTTGGCGGGTGTTATGCTTGTTTTACATTATAATAGTTTACATATTTTATACTAAAATCAAATAAATTTACTCTTTCAATCATAATCCCTTTAATGTTATTGAATGAATTTAATACTTCATGGTTGGATTTGAATGTATAATTTGTTTCTTTAGTTTCAATACGAGTTTAATTAAAGTTGAATATTCAAAACACATTTTATTACAACAACGATAGTTTAATAAACAAGTTTAAAGTTATGATATTTGAGTTAATAAAACTTTAAAATAAGGGTAGTTTAAACTGATAATTTTGATTAGACAAATCCGTTCATCTCATACTCATCTATATGACTCTTTGACTAATTATAGTGATAATATCTTTTGAGCAATACTATATGAAGTTAAAAAATAGATTTAAAAATTAAACTTAATAATTATAACCATTGATTTCACTATGAGTCCTATCATTTATTGAGACCTATTACCTATTCGATAGTTGAGATTATCAAGTTTAATTTTTAAATCNCATTGATTTCACTATGGGTCCTATCATTTATTGAGACCTATTACCTATTCGATAGTTGAGATTATCAAGTCTAATTTTTAAATTCATCTATCACTACTCATATCTTTTTATCCCATATTTCGTTCAAGTATTGAGAAATAATGGACCCTATATTTATCCCATCCAATATTTTGTTTGAACGGAATTTTTTATGATGATAGAAACATTAAATTATTAAAAAACTCTCAAAATAAAGAGTAATATTTAAATCTTAAATATTCTCGAGAGGAAAAATGTATTTTACACAAATACTCTCCGACTAGAGTATTTAAACCCACCAAGTAGCTTTGGTTTATTTAAGAGACTATGTGTGTGTTTAGAAACACTATTCATTCAGACCGAATATTTTTATGTGATAAAACCGGACCCAAAATGTATATCCAAACGAGTAAAAATTGAATAAGGTAAACCCAAATATATTTTTTTTCTAATCCCTCTTTTCTAATACCTAAAGCAATCACACCCTTATGGGTTTAAAAATATCAGCGTATTTCTATAAGACTACACATTTTGCACACATGACTATCTGTGTGAAGAGAAAATTAGACAGCTTGATTGGAATTAGAAAGTGAGTTGAGTTGTGGGTTTAAAATGGGTTGATTCTTAGTTGGGTTTGGGAGAGTGTGCTGATATGAGAAATTCAAATTAAATGTCACATCATTAAGTTCTCATTTTAAATCCAAATAATATTACTTTTTCGATTAATACTCTGTTTTTTGAGAGNCCTCAAAATAAAGAGTAATATTTAAATCTTAAATATTCTCGAGAGGAAAAATGTATTTTACACAAATACTCTCCGACTAGAGTATTTAAACCCACCAAGTAGCTTTGGTTTATTTAAGAGACTATGTGTGTGTTTAGAAACACTATTCATTCAGACTGAATATTTTTATGTGATAAAACCAGACCCAAAATGTATATCCAAACGAGTATAAATTGAATAAGGTAAACCCAAATAATTTTTTTTCTAATCCCTCTTTTCTAATACCTAAAGCAATCACACCCTTATGGGTTTAAAAATATCAGCGTATTTCTATAAGACTACACATTTTGCACACATGACTATCTGTGTGAAGAGAAAATTAGACAGCTTGATTGGAATTAGAAAGTGAGTTGAGTTGTGGGTTTAAAATGGGTTGATTCTTAGTTGGGTTTGGGAGAGTGTGCTGATATGAGAAATTCAAATTAAATGTCACATCATTAAATTTTCATTTTAAATTCAAATAATATTACTTTTTCGATTAATACTCTGTTTTTTGAGAGAGAGAATGCAAGTCCTTCATGACACCCAAAAAAAGCATCCCTTTAGGTTTGGGAAAAAAAAAAAGAAAATAAACTACACGTTTATTTCCAATAAATGCACAATTTGAATTCCTACTAACTTAAATCTTTATAATTAGAATTCCTATCAACTGTCATAAATAATTTGAATCTTAACCAGACAAAAGAAGATGCTGTAAGCTAGCTATTAATTATGGGATTGGATTCGGAGCATCATTCAGTCCACCACCAAGGAAAGAAATAATAAAGGATGGTTTTGGACAAAAGCTATTTTACAGCAGATCGACGAATGCACGTGACACAACTCATGCCATAATAAGATGATTATTCACTTCATGCTTAGCACGTTTAGCTGCTACCCAGATCGTGACGGGAAGCGTATTCCTCGGATTAGATTATAAGAGTGGGAATTAAAAGTCATTGCTACGCTGTCCACCAACTCGCATCCCATCCCATCCCATGTATGCTTCACGAATTTATTTATTCTAAAGAACAGTATTAGTAACTAATTTGTATTACGGACAAATTGATGGGAGAATGTCTCATTACTATGTTGTCCTAAAAAAACGACTGATTAGTTCATTCTTAGAGATAGAGAGAGAAACCAATCGTCACTTCCGACGGGCACAAGCACACACACACATAAGCATCAACGCCAAACAGAGAGTAGACTCAAACCCGACCAGACTTGCTCTGGACCAACACCACACACCCTCTCCAACAATCCCACCACCACCACGACACCCCCTCTCTCTCAGACACAAAACTCCAGTTGTTCCCACGTATCCAACCTACAGATCAACAGGCACCATCTCCCCAGTTCAAACCGCGATGTCCACACCATTTAGCCTATCCAACCTTTTAAGACATCATGGTAGTTGCTCTAGCTTTACTTATCTGCACAACCGGATAAATCCAACTACAATTTGCAGTTCAAAAGATTGAATTTGAAATTGAAAGAGCTGCATAATGATAACTAAGTGAATGCCAACTTGGGATTTGTTATGTTAAAAAGTTTTCCAACTCATTCCACAAGTATCCATATGAAGTTATCCTATCAAAGGCTTGAACTGGTCCTTTAGCCGATCTCCCTCTTTTAACAGAAAAAAATTTTTAACCATCCAATGCAGTTTTCTAGAAGTGTGAAAGAATTGTATTACTTGGTAGACCTGATGTGAAACAGGAGCATCTTTTCATTAGACATACATTATCAACATAGGAAATCCCAAGAAAATAATGGGAAACAATTGCCTGTTCTAACCTTATCTCATGTGATTGCAGATATGCTCCCTTCATCCCAAACACAAACACAATACCGAGCAAAAACAGAAAAACAACTCACAATCAACAATCAAGACAACAGAGCTGGGATTGTGAAGTTGGAACGCTTGCAGTCACAAGTGCACAGGCTTCTAGATTCTTTTACTACACGTTGCGACCTCCGGGTATGAAGCTTGATGTTCACCAACTTACCCGCTAACTGTTAACACAACCAAAGATCAAAAAGAAATCAAAATTTTCAGATAATTATTTAGTTTTGATTGCTCCTCTTAAACTAGAAATCACAAAGGCAGGCAATAAACCACATTCCTAAAAATCTCAAAGTGCTTTTTACCAAGGCACTTGTCCATGAAGTTTGCTCGTCTAGTAATATTAAACATAAAAATATGAAACCAAGTACTTCGTTTTCAAAGCTTAGCTATCATAAGAACTTCAAGAAAATTATCACTCAGGCAAGATACTAAAAGGCAGGCAAAACAGTTCACTTCTTGATCTTTCTTTCTCATCTTCAACAACAATTAAAATCACAAACAAAAAGCCAAATGTATTCTAAATAGGACGAATGAGTAACAAACCATTCTCCAAATCAAGTCTTCTGGACCCATAGGTTGAGCTGGATTGGAATAGAGGAAATGCCTTGAGAACTGTAAGCAAAAGATGTTAATAAAGTGAGGAACAATATGTCGTATATGTATTTAATTTCATAAAGAAAGAAAACCTGGATATAAGTTCTCGACATCTCTAATTGGTTAAAGTAAGAAGCTTGGAGATCAAATATTCCAACCAACTGATTGGATTGCATCATGTTATTAAAGAGTTATTGCCTTTTGTTTTGTTGAGATGTAATGATACTGATGTATTTTCCCATACTGTGTCCTTTATAGGATGGATCTCTCATCCACTTCTTTGTAATTTGTTTTTTTTTCAATTACTGAAATTTTCGTTTCTTATCCAAAAAAAAAATCCAACCAATTAACCTGATGAACAAAAGAAGTACTACCACAAGTATCCAGAACTTATTTGCAGAATCAGACCTTAGCTAAGTTCATTTGCATTGCCCTGATTTGAGCAGGACTAACACTTCTGAGGAACTTTAAAAGTGATCCCGGCTGCACGGCATCGCTCGAAGAAACAAACAAAGCTATCTGCAATAAATTGACNTGCATTGCCCTGATTTGAGCAGGACTAACACTTCTGAGGAACTTTAAAAGTGATCCCAGCTGCACAGCATCGCTCGAAGAAACAAACAAAGCTATCTGCAATAAATTGACAAATATGAAAGCCTCAACAACCCAATACCAACTGTTTTTTATCGGCTAAGTGGAAGTTCTAAAAGAATAAAAGCTCCAGAAGACCACATGGCAGGGGAAATTCCTAGTACACATGCATACAAAGAAGTGCCAATGGCTCAACAGAATTGAAGAAATCACCCAAAAACTTTTCAAAGGTTGATTGTACTTGGATATCACACCTTATTGCAAATAGAAGTTAAAAATTGTACTCAATCACATGTACCTCAGCTTATCACCCAATACCAACTGTTCAAGGAAAGGAAACCAACATAAAGACACAGACAAAGATGAGATAGTTTGCAATTCAGACGCTTCTCTATATGTTTTTTTTTTTTTTTTTTTTTTTTGCTGATCAAAAAAAAATGCAGTCACATTGTTTTACAAGCTATGCTTGCTGTGGCCAAACTGTTAACATAACTGATTAACAAACATATAGAGAAGGAATCAACTCACGAGTTTTCAAATTCTTGATGTGAACTGGCAGATTCGTCAAAATTGACAAAGAGGGTAGACAATAATATATAATTCATTCCATATAACTGAAAGGGTTGGCAGCTGATAACGCAATTTAAACAGTTTGCAATTCAGATGCTTCTCTATTTTTTTTTTTTTTTTTTTCTGCTCAAAAAAAATGCTGTCACATTGTTTTACAAGCTATGCTTGCTGTGGCCAAACTGTTAACATAATTGATTAACAAACATATAGAGAAGGAATCAACTCACAAGTTTTCAAATTATTGATGTGAACTAGCAGATTCGTCAAAATTACCAAAGAGGGTAGACAATAATATATAATTCATCCATATAACTGAAACGATTGGCAGCTGATAACGCAATTTAAACAGTGAATCTTAAACAATAAAACAAGACATTATATCCTCCTCCTTTCGGAAGGTGCTCATCAGTTTAGCTTAATACACGGTTTGCCACACAACCAACTAACTTCCTTCTACCACAGTTCTACTTCTGTATGTCACATGAATTATGAATGTGTGTGCAAGTACATTTGTACGATCCTGAAACAAGATTTAAATTCAATTTATGCTCAGAATATCAATGCAACTCCTCTTATCTAAAACCATAAAATACAAGTTACAAAACTCGACTTATTGCCCCTTGACAATCATCCTTCACTTCTACTCCACTTTTCACCCCATCATCTTATGTTAGTGCTTTTACGAGATACATCATAAGAAGAACCTAGCACCAAAAACTTAAAAGGGCATACCTTCCGATAATCAAGTATTCCTTCAAAGGGAAGCTCTAGTTCATCACTAATAATAACAGGAATACACCCACTGAAAATAGCATCAAACAATCTAGCAGATGATGGAGTGTCACCAGCTGGACATAGGCAATAAATAGATCTGATAACCAAAGAAGCAACTCACTCTATTAAAAAAGTACAAGAAGAAAGGTACACAGTGAACATTGTAAATTATGCAACTTGAAATTTACTTGCGCATGCCACTCTGAGCTGCTGCTTTTCCTGCCTCTCCAGCACTCCCCTCCTCTATAACTACACCATCAGCACCATTAAGTTCTGACACAAGTTTAGCCCGTATCTTTCCTCCCTGAAAGTAAAACACATTAAATTATTTTGCACCTAGCACACAATAACCACAAGCCAATCCAAATGTCAGCCAAAGAAGTATTATTACGAGTTAGGAAAGATGATGGAAGAAATCAAATCCTGATGGCCTACCAAGGAGTAATGTCATAGGGCCGAAGGATGTGATGATCAGAAACACTTAATAAAAGTCAACACAACGGCTTAAACAGAACTACCATGGGTCAGAGATGTGGGTTTGTTCAGCTGCTCATTGTAAACATAGATCTAAGTATATGTCCTAGTAACACGGTTTTCTATCAAAATATACTCACAATAGCTCTTCACATCTCAACTATTTTCTTTCACATTCTTCTGATTTTTACTATCTCATCCAAGGATTGTCCAAAGACTTTATAAGGTCAGCTATCCTCTGATTTTGTGACCAAACTGCGTTGTAATGTCCAGACATTATGACCACTACCATAATTTGACACCGCAAGTGATGATCACTTTGTTCTTAAAGAAACAACTGGTTGACACTTTACAGCGTCATTTACTTTCTATAAATTACAACAATTGCCATCAGATCCCATCTAGATATGTGTTGAAAGGTAACATATGGGTTTTCCCACCAATTAATTATCACAAAATGGGCCAATCTGCATGTCATCAATTATTTTTCAACCAACTCTCTGAAGTACTCGTGAATCTAACTTACTATCACAATCATCTTTGAACAATTTCACTCTACCACATCATGAAATCGTCAGGACATTTTATTCTCTTTTTAGAGATTTGTTTTTGTGAGGATGTAATTTTAAGTGAATATCAATTTAGTTGCAGTCATGATCGAATCTCTCGAGGCTACAGTAGCCATATTGCAAAGAAGTATTTGGGGGAAAAAATTACTAGCTATATTGCAAGTCCATAAGACAAGCATAATGTCAAGTATACTTTCAACCAGGAAAAATAGTTCTAAGCTTATATACTACCAACAATACCACCATATCAAATGAAAAAACTCAATGTAATTCAGTTGTTTGTCTTAGCCGAAAGTCTTACAGCATTTCTCTTCAGTCTTCCACGGAAAAATAGCAGTGTGCTTCTCTTAGATTCAATTTCTAATAAGCATTTTGCATCACACAGATCGACATTGGGGACATAAGGAAGTATCAGGTCTTTCTCAAGCCAACCTTGTCCAGGCTTGTACCTATAGGTTTAAGTATAATCACACATCAGAAGCTACAATAAATTATATTTTTTGGATGCATTTGCAACTTGAGTCAGATATTGACCAGTTTCCTGTTGAGTCCATATCTGGTAGCAGCCAAATTGCATTCTTCATAAATCTGCGGACGGACTTGAAAGACCAAGGATGATGAATCGGAAGTATGTGGTCTCTTCCTTCAGATCGTTTCCATGCAGGCTGCTCCGTGACCCACTTCAAAGCTTCCTACAATCCCCTTTGTGTTAGAACTTCAGAGCACATATGCAAATGCAATATTATGATAAAGATTAAAGCTTTACCACATAAATAATATAAGTTCATGTGAAATCTACAGGTGATCTCTGCCAAGCATGTTATATCACTGCAGCTATAATTAACAGAAATCTCCATATAAAAAAGACAACTAGAGGACCACAAATTTTCTCGTGGTTGTTAACTGCAACGATGCAGAAAATGAGTAAAAGAATAAAAGCCCATGCAAAGAGGCAGATGCATATGTGGTCCACTTCCAAATATTTGGGTTATGCACATGGTCAAACACATGTCACAAAAGATCATTCGTTTGAGTCTCTATGTAAGTCAATTTTCGCTCCATAAATCAAGTGAACAAACCAAGTTGAAGTAGCTTTCTGACAGCTGTGAGGTGCTTGAGGTAACCACCTTGATGCTATACAACAACGGAATCCAGTTGGGGAAAGTGACGATGAAAAATAGTTTTTAGTAAGAAGCACTCCTCATGACCCTGGTATTATACACATTGAATGATACCAGACACATCCAAACACCCAAACACCATATGGAGTCANCATGTTGACACTTTTTTAGAACTTGTCTACTACTAAACAATAAACATGTGTTGAAATGTGATTAACAAAGTTTAAAAAGTTGAGAACATAAAATTGTCAATACTAGACATATTAAAATTGTACTCCAAATATAATAATAAAAACAAAAAATCCATAAAAGTTTTGAAAAAGAATAATTAAGAAAATGAGAGCAATTGTTTAAATTATATATTAAATACACATTGTCTACAAAAAAAATTGATGATTATTGACTATTAAGAGGATGCTTTAGTCTAAAAATTCACATAAATGATTAGACATAAGATTTCCTTATCATAAAATACTAAATCTTTTATAAATTATATATCATTATCACTATATTTGAAATAAATTATATTAATGTTATATATAAAATATAATTTTTTGTAGCGTGTCCCCAACGTGTCCGTGTCCTACTTTTTTGAGAAATATCGTGTCAACGTGTCCGTGTCGTGTCGTATCTGCGTCCATGTCCGTGCTTCTTAGCTTGTGACTAACCACAAGAGACAGACCCAAAAACTCAGCGAAAGACTTGAAATAAGGTCCAACCAACGAGCCCATCATTCCACGCTAATGGTTCTTACATTCTTTTCGGGCCGAGCTGCTAACGAGACAACCCAGCACTGAGGTGTGTCCAACCTTATGCATTCGCAACGACGGGAACTACATCTCCACTGAATACACTCGAGCATTCAAGATGGGCTTACTGGTGGCTCGTCGCTACGGCCTATTACCACTACATGGAGCCTATCTCCTTGTGGAAGCTAGTGAATAGGTCAAAACATTCTCATATAGCTTGCTTTCAGGCACTACCATAGGAATACCTCAGGTGTTGAGGATTACCTAATCGAGGCTCAAAGGTACATGTAGTTTCCACACACACTGAATAGGTTGCTACTCTACCAAAACACCTACTCACTCGAGCAACAGAGGATCATCAAGTCAACACCTGCTGTTGAGACAATGTTCCTTTTGCTGACTGTTCAGCTAAAAGATGAACATAAAAAACCGTTTTTACCAGACCAGANAAATAGGATATCATAACATGATAGGAAAAATGCTTCATAACCCACCCCTACGTCAAAATTATAACCATGTTTGAAATTACCCATCAGGTTGTCAGAATTTCTGTTGGNGACATACAAGAATATAAAGCTTTAATGTAGGCCTCAAAATGCACTCACACCCTATAAAGTGACTTGCACTGCTGTTTCTCCAACAAGAAGAAGCTTATTGTTGTGAAAAACGGAATGTAGAATAAGTCTGCCTCTTCTTGCCGATAGACTCTCACAACACTCTTCAAAAGCCTTTCTGATTCCAGAGTAATCAAATCCANTAGGCACAGTCAAGAGTCTAAGACCAACAACAAACCAAGGCATCATCTGATTGATGCTTGCCTAGAAACAAATGTTTAAAACATACTTATAGAGAGAGAGAAAAATGACAGCCAATGAGGAAGCAACACTTCGCAAAGCATGTGATAGAGTGTGCCTAGGATTTGAGGAATACTGGTCACCAATGTCAAAACGTTAACCATAATAAGCCTAAGACTTGTGACCTATGAAGCACGGATACTCTCGAGAAGGTGACGTATCCGTGTCGGACACCGACACTCTTCGTACACANTTAAAATATTTAATATTTTATTTTTGATTGAAATATTTTTTGTCTAAGTATAACATTTTAAACTTAAGGTGTCTAAGTAATATGTTACAAACTTTAGGGGGACTAGATAAAATTTATTATATAGGAGGGTCTAAGTGTTACGGGCATATAAACTTTAGAGGGTCAGAGTGATTAATTGACAAATGTCANTACTACTAAACAATAAACATGTGTTGAAATGTGATTAACAAAGTTTAAAAAGTTGAGAACATAAAATTGTCAATACTAGACATATTAAAATTGTACTCCAAATATAATAATAAAAACAAAAAATCCATAAAAGTTTTGAAAAAGAATAATTAAGAAAATGAGAGCAATTGTTTAAATTATATATTAAATACACATTGTCNGATTTATTTTCACCATCTTTTTTTGGTTATCCTCTCTATTCTTTGTTTTTTTTTTGATTAGTATTAGGATGACCACATCAATTTGCTGAAAGTACAAATCCATAATCATCTGTATGATCATCTTTTTCGTACAGTGACTTCAAGCATAAAAATTAAAAAGCAGAGCAGCTGCTTTTTGAAAGTGAGCTAAATAGAATCCACTGATATTCTCCAGCATACCACCTACATGGGCCTCAACAAAGAAAGACTTTTGCTTTTTCTTTTTCTCAAAGATGATTTTTGTCATATTAACTTGATATATTACGATCATTGAATAAATAGTAAATTTTAATAAATATTAAAACCTACAACTAAATCAAATGGCAAATTGAAAATGATTGATCAAGTCAANGTTATTCATGAGGGTAAAAAGACCAAGGCCATCGATCTCACTGGGCCAAACGAAGCCCCGTCGACAAGCTAGGGGTGGTGGTCCAAGAGGTGGCCGCGGTGGCTATGGGTTCGGTAGTGATGACGGCGGTGGGTATGGGCTTAATCAGAGGAATGGTAGGTCTCGTTATTCTTTGGGTAAGAGAGACGGCGTGTTTGCTTTTTTTGCTTTTGCTTTAGGAGAGTGTGATTAGAAAAATTAATATTAGAGTATCTTATTTCTCTTTTATACTCATATTTGTATATATATTTTGGGTCCAACACTACATACCCCATCTTAAATAAACTTACATTTTTTTATGGGTTTAAATTATTAAATTGGAGTGTATTTGGGTCAAAGATATTTTTACCCACAAAAATCAATGAGATATGAATATTACTCTTTATCTTAAGATTTTTTAATAATTTAATATTTATATCATCATTCAATACTCTATCCAAAATAAAATATCAGATCTGATAAATATGAAGTCTACTACTTCTTAATACTTGAACCAACTATAAAACGAAGAGACATTATCTCTATAATTAGTCCAAGACTTATAGATAGATAGGCAATTGATAAAATTTGGAAATGACAGAGATATTTTAAAACACAGAGAAACAAAGATAAAGAGAGAAAGAATGACTCATCGGGAAGACAAAGGGAAAGGAACGGAGGAGTTGCTGACAAAAACAACGGTTGCTGAAACGCCGTAATATGATGATGAAAATGAGCCGTTGATGAATTGCTTGAGAATAATTAGGTTCCTCATTTTGGTGGTGCTTGATTTGATCTCTTATTTATTAGCTGAGTAAGTAATACAACACATGTTGCTCTCTGCCGCCATTGAAAGCCTTCACTTGGAGAGACATTCGACCAAGCCTAAGTCTAAGCTCACTGTCCATCTCTATATTAACTAAAGTGGTCAAAGTTAGGTGCGTCTCTTAATTTTAGTAGTAGTTTGTGTGATGGGTAGATAACTCCCAAATTCGAGTTTCACCAGTCACATAATGATTTATTTTCACCATCTTTTTTTGGTTATCCTCTCTATTCTTTGTTTTTTTTTTGATTAGTATTAGGATGACCACATCAATTTGCTGAAAGTACAAATCCATAATCATCTGTATGATCATCTTTTTCGTACAGTGACTTCAAGCATAAAAATTAAANTTCCCTTGAGATTATTCTATTTTACAGAGGTTTTAGTTCAGTGTTTCGAGTCTTTTTTCTTTTTCTTTTTAGTTCACTCTCTCCTTAGAAAGAGGCCTTGGGAGAAGTTTGGCGAATTCGCTTTTGAAACATACAGCAACAAAATGTCTAGGTACACTGAAGTGTAAGATGATGTGATACGAGCCCACAGTTAACAATAAAATTAGATGAATGCAATGGACTGATAAGATTTGCGAATGACAGCCAAACAGCCCCTGAGATATAACTCNACCACTAACTCGGATGATGAATAATTTTTAGCTTAAAAAATGGTACTTATAAAAAATTCTCCAAACTTTTTTTTTTTGTGAAAAAATTGTGGTTATGTAAATAAGTTTTAACCATATTGGAGTTTGGTAGGTCTTGATGGGGTTGGAGATAGAGATTTACATCATTGGGTTAACGAAAGTGAAGATGGTGGTGGTAGAATTGATGAAAGAAGATTAGTTGATTGAGTCAAATGGATGAAGAGATTTTTTTTCTTTCCTATAAGAAAAATAAAATAGGTTGAGAGATGAAGCAGAGAGTGAAAAGAGATCAAGGAGTGGAGGACGGTGACAACAAGCGAGGCAGCCATGGCTTTAATATAAGTTTCATTCTTTAATAAGTCGNAATGGATGAAGAGATTTTTTTTCTTTCCTATAAGAAAAATAAAATAGGTTGAGAGATGAAGCAGAGAGTGAAAAGAGATCAAGGAGTGGAGGACAGTGACAACAAGCGAGGCAGCCATGGCTTTAATATAAGTTTCATTCTTTAATAAGTCAGAAAGAAGAAAGAGAAACTTAGAGATAAAATCTTATCGACTCTTTGAGTAGAATAGAATGTTGAATTTCGAACGGTAACAAATGTATAAATTCAAGTGATATGAGTTCTGGTAAAAAAAAAAAAGTGATGTATGAGTTCGAATTTGAAAATTAATATTTTCAAAATAGGTTAAAAAAAATTATGTGGAAACTACTAGGATTTGGATCCTCGATTTCCAAATTTATCAATATATATCAAATATGATAATGTATTACTACATTTATTAAGAATAGTGGGTTAGCGAGACTGATGAGAAACTATTATTATGGCCCAATGAAATTAATGATAGATATAGTCTTGCGGAGACTTTGTTTTTTCTAAGTCTCTTGGTCGACAAAGGCGGGGTTGATTGGTTGAACGGATCTTAATTGTTTGAACGAATTGTATCCAAATTTTTAGTATGGATTCAAATTCCTACCGATATATAAATCTTGATTTAACTAGTGTATAAGTTAAGGGACAGAAGAACCGGTTCAAGCACTCGAGATTTATCCTTAGTTCTACTCGAACTCATGAGTTTGAGCGACATAAATGCGTCTCTACTCGTCGATAACAAATCAGAGATTTTTTTTGTTACCCAAAAAAATAAAAAATAAATTNATGTATGAGTTCGAATTTGAAAATTAATATTTTCAAAATAGGTTAAAAAAAATTATGTGGAAACTACTAGGATTTGGATCCTCGATTTCCAAATTTATCAATATATATCAAATATGATAATGTATTACTACATTTATTAAGAATAGTGGGTTAGCGAGACTGATGAGAAACTATTATTATGGCCCAATGAAATTAATGATAGATATAGTCTTGTGAAGACTTTGTTTTTTTTAAGTCTCTTGGTCGACAAAGGCGGGGTTGATTGGTTGAACGGATCTTAATTGTTTGAACGAATTGTATTCAAATTTTTAGTATGGATTCAAATTCCTACCGATATGTAAATCTTGATTTAACTAGTGTATAAGTTAAGGGACGGAAGAACCGGTTCAAGCACTCGAGATTTACCCTTAGTTCTACTCGAACTCATGAGCTTGAGCGACATAAATGCGTCTCTATTCATCGATGACAAATCAGAGATTTTTTTTGTTACCCAAAAAAATAAAAAATAAATTAATAAATGATAGATGATTCAAATTGATCAATTTTTTAAGATTTGAAATTGAGATGATCATTTTAGCACTAACAACGAAAGTTACCACAAAAGTTATGGTGCCACGAATTAAATATTATAAAGTATCCGTGTCGTTTTGTC